AGAACATTATGGGACTCCAGATTCACAATACTTGAAAGCTTATATGAAAAGCCAGGCCTTCAAAACTTCACCAGAAGACTAGGACTGGTGAATCTCAGGGAAAGGGTGCTCCAAAGGGCAAGGGGCTACTATCAAGAAGGCCTGCTGCCTAGGTTCTGCTACTTGGCAACATTTAAAGGAAGAAACCTGAAGTGCAGTCACCCTATTTCACCCAGTTACTAAAATAGTTGCTGATCCTGTTATGCAGAAAAGGAAAATCCCAAACCAGAGGTGGTATTCATCAGGTTCTGACCAGTTCTGGAGAATCGGTAGAGGAAATTTTGAGTAGTTCGGAGAACCAGCAAATACCTCTTCTGACTGGCCCCGCCCCCATCTATTCTCTGCCTCCCGAGACCCAGCTGATTGGCTGGGTCTTCTTTTGTTGCCCGGCACAGGAGAACGGAGCTGGAAAGCAGGTTAGTGGGGTGGGAGGGAATAGGGTTTTGCAGTAACCTTCCCCAGGAGTGGGGAAGGAATGGAGATTTTACAGTATCCTTCCCCACCACACCCACCAAGCCATGCTCACCAAGCCACAAGATGCCTACCAAGCCACGCCCACAGAACCGGTAGTAAAAAATTTTTTGAATCCCACCACTGTTCCAAATGCATAACCAGAATTACAGTAGGAAAATGGAACATAAGAATGGAAGAACTCAACAGTAAAGACCCAGCCAGGGTTGTACTGTAGAAGATGCCATGAACTGCCCATGTGCAAATTCCAAGTCATCCTAAAGTAGAAGAACTATTCATCTAGTTGGGTGGTTCTTGAGAAGATAATCTTGAGCAGAAACTTCCCATTTTCAAGGAGAAATCGAGAATTGCCTCAAAGTCCTAAACTTCATTTAAAGTCCTCCATGACATTGGGCTGGATTATTTGAGGAACTACCTCTACCTTATATACCCCCATCCCATCAGACCCAACGGAACAAGCATGCTATGGGTCCTGTTTACTACATAGCTAATTGGCAAGTCTCATGAGTCATGACTTCTCTCCATGGCATCCATCTTAGGACACATCCTGGCTCTCAAAGTAAGGTTAGCTCCATCCCTATTGATTTTCCATAAGTTCTTCAAAATTTGGTTATGCCAGGCCTGGTGACCTAGGGACCAATCAAGTACTGAGGTGGCTCAATTGTTGTTAATATCTGTTATCTTTTCTTAGCTTTTTAAAAAATAATTGTTAATTGTTTTATAGTTTTGTATGCCACCAGAGTCACTTTTTCATGAGATGGCATATAAATTTGATTGATGGATAGATAAAAAGAATGGATGGATAGATAATGGATTGATGGATGGATAAAAAGAACCACAGGATGAATTCAAATAAGTTATTAAGCAATTGGTATGCTAAAGCAGCCCCCCGCAATCCCTGGACCACAGATAAGTATTGGTCCATGGCCTGTTAGAGGAACCAGGCTGTACAAGTGTGGGCGAGCAAGTGAAACTTTATCTGCACATGTGCAGGATCTAGATTGTGTGTATGAAACCATCCCCCCTGTCCCGATCCATGGAAACATTTCCATCCACGAACCTATCTCTGATTTTCAGAAAGTTTGAGGACCGCTATGCTAAAGGATGTCAAAGAATGGTAACTGATAAAAAATAACAAACAAAGGGGGAAGGTGTGCATTGAAATCCTGTGTATATCAACACCCAACATTTCTCATTTACAAGAACCTCTATTATTAGATGGCAACAAAAGAAGTCAGTTTATATAAACAGTAAACAGTGGAAGATTAAAATGGAGTGTAAACAAAACCAATATAATCACTAAAAGTATTACAACTAGTCTTAGAATTGATAGTAAAGGCATTGTTATGTTCTGAGAACCCTAGGAGTTCTCACTCAGGTCCATTCACTTTGCGGGGGCGTTCTTCCCCTTCGCTCATTGGTTGGTTCTCCCCAGCAGCCAGCTATAAAAGCAGGCTGCGGGGTCCAACCAGTTGCTGATCGCTGCGAGCCAGTTCCCGGCTTGGCAAGCACGGTCAGCCCTTTATTGTTATAATAAAGTATTGTTGCACTCATGCTCTGGTTCAGCCTCTCTTTTCCCAAACTTAACACTGGCGACGAGGATGGGATGGCTACCAGAAGCACCATGCAACTGCTGAGTCACTAGCCGCCGATCCGCAGCCAGAGAGAGAGCGATCGGCCGGCGATAAGAGCAACGCTGATCTGCAGCCAGATAGAGTGGTCAGCAAGCAAAAAGAGCGAACGCTGATCCGCTGACAGAGAAAGCGGTCAGCAAGCACTAAGAAGCGAACACTGATCCGCAGCCAGAGAGAGCGGTCAGAATCTAAAGTTAGAAGCGTCTGTAGCCGCTTGTTAGCCCAGCTACAGGGAAAGTGAAGCGCTGCGAGCCGCAGCCGCTCGTTTGTTTAGGCGCGAAATTCAAACGGCTGTCATTTGAATTTCAAACCTAAAAGGTACAGCGCGGTGTTGTAGTCAAGTCACTGACGCCCACACAGGCGCAAATTCAAACGCTGCCAACGGCTGATAGCCAAACCGTGTGCTAGCCCAGAGAGAGAGAGAGGATTGCGAAAAGCCTCTCCAGAGCTGAAATCACTTGCCTGCCACAGGCACTAGAACCTTTTGCCGCTGCCCCAGAGAGATTTTGTCCACAGGTTGTTCCACCGGTCCCATCACCATGAATTCCAATCCAGTCTTCCCAGCGTTCAAACCGGATGAGGAGAAGTGGGAATCATACAAGAACCGCTTCAACCATTATATCGATGCAATCGGGCTGGCGGATGCTGGGGAGCATCGGAAAAAATCGTATTTCCTAATCTACTGTGGAGCCATCGTTTTCGATACTGCCACAGCCCTCGTGGCTCCACGTGAGTTGAAAAACGTTCCTTGGTCTGAACTACTTGAAATCCTCACTAACCACTATTCTCCCAGGCCCTCACAGATTGCCAGGAGATTCACCTTCCGTATGAGGAAGCAATCGGACAAGGAGACCATCAATCAGTACATGGCCGCCCTCAGAACAGCAGCACTGCATTGTGGGTTTGGAACCTACCTGGAGGACATGCTCCTCGATCAACTAGTCTGCGGGGTCAAGGACCTCCACCTTCAGAGGCGCCTTCTCGCTAAAAAGGACCTCAACCTAGCGCAAGCCGTCGAGAAGGCCTTGGCAGCAGAACTGGCAGCGCACTCAGCCACCGAAATACATGGCCCGACTGCAAAGCTAACGACAGTTCCAGTCCACTCCGAGGAGGTGGTAGCAGAGGAAGCCCCTAGTGATGAAAACGACGTCCACCGCCTCTCCAACGCCAGACGGCCGCAGGTAGGAGCCAAACAAGAAAACATCGGTCCGCCCAAGCACATCACCCTGTGCCTAGCCTGTGGTGGATCTCATCTGAGGGCCACCTGCAAGTTCAAAGGAGCCACCTGCAATAACTGCCATAAAAGGGGGCACATCGCGAGAGTCTGCCAAGCCCCTCAAAACTCAGCACAAAGGCACCCCCCCTTCTCACACTCTGGACCGCAGAGGCAAGTATTGAACTGTCGCACTCACCACTATGCCAAGCACACTTGCCACTCTGTTAGTAAAATCTCTCTCTCCGTTTACTTAGAAGGCACCTGGACCAGCTGCGTAGACGTCTCAGCACCCTCGCTAGCAGGGACCCAGAACTACAAAACGAAGGGAGGCCTCAGCATCAGCCCCACATCCACATCCTTCCCGGCGACCAGTTGACACCGGCAGCCATTCCAGAAAGCCCGAACACGGACAGCGGCGCCCAGACGGCTGACCCCTCCGATCCGGTCTACGGGAGCACGTCCCCAGTGACCAACCCTACGAGTCCGGGACCTGCCCGAACCGAGAAGCACGTTGGTGACACTTTACCAGCTCTGCCTTCCCAGGCAGACTCTGAACGGACAGACAGCGTTCCAGAGCTGCGCCGTTCCGGGCGCCAGCATAAACCTCCTGCCTACCTCAAAGACTATGCGTGTTCGCATCTGGGGGGAAGGGGTGTTATGTTCTGAGAACCCTAGGAGTTCTCACTCAGGTCCATTCACTTTGCGGGGGCGTTCTTCCCCTTCGCTCATTGGTTGGTTCTCCCCAGCAGCCAGCTATAAAAGCAGGCTGTGGGGTCCAACCAGTTGCTGATCGCTGCGAGCCAGTTCCCGGCTTGGCAAGCACGGTCAGCCCTTTATTGTTATAATAAAGTATTGTTGCACTCATGCTCTGGTTCAGCCTCTCTCTTCCCAAACTTAACAGGCATTAAGTGATAGATTGCTTTTGTTTTTTTAGGATTAACTATCAACAGTAAAGGAACTTGCAGTCAGGATAAATGCTTCATTAGAACTTGATAATGTGGCAATGAAGGCCTTGGAAAAGATATTTGGATATTATGATGCAGCTATGCTTACAAAGACCAGAGCTGTTCTGAATGTGCAAGCATATAGAGTGCACCAAGGTTGTAGAAAGCTAAACAGAAATAGACAGAGCATAATGACTCTGAATTTAAAAGATTCAAATACTCTTGTAAAGGCCTAAATATCTAATAAAGGAACTAAATGAAGTCAGCCCCTTCTTTGAATTTTGCTTCTACCTTAAGGTCATTAGGTTTTCTTAAATATGGCATTCCATTTCTAGCAATATGAATAATAATAACAACTTATGGCACCACTGCTGCTATATACTACCCATGGAATGCTCTGAATGCATAAACTGGAAAACAAACTCAACATACAATTATAAAGCAGGTGACTGCTTCATGATCTTTTTTTGTAACTTCTTCCTGTCATTCAAAACACATTTCTATCTCAGGTAAGCAATGTCTGAATTGAAAAAAAAAATCTAGATGATCGCTACACGACAGAGTCCATTGGAATTGGGTGGCCAATTAATTCAAAGGACTGTTGCTTTGCAGCCCAGGTACATTCATAGTTTCTTTTTTTTTTTCTAGGCCAAGGGAGTAACAAGAGGACAAAAAGTACATTTGATTTTATTCCAGTTAATTTAATTAAGCACAGTTATTATGATTGCTCTCTAGTTATGTACTGAATATTTTTCCCTTCTTTCATTTTAAAAATGACAACTTGTGCAATTGCTACAGATCTGAATACCTGGTAGCCTTCATCACCTGCTCTGAATACATTCTGGAAACTACTTCCTCTTTCCCTTCCACAAGAATAGATACAGAAATATTGTGGCTAATTGTGACAAAAAATAACATTCGCATATCCTTCATATATACATAAAAGCAGATTTTTCAGGCAGTTAACCTCTTTGTCAAACGAGATCCACTGAAACTTCTTTCCTTGAATACATATCAAATGTTAAGAAATTATTTTATACGCTGGTCATCTTATAGAGAAAATACTAAGAAAATACAGGTATTTCTGCCTAAAAATACATGTTCCTTTGCATGAATGATAAACTTGTCTGGGATAATGAAGAAGTAGGAAATTCTGGTTATTAGACATCTCTTTGTGTGATTAGATTTCACTGTCTTCACACCTTTGATGATTATGGCACTCCATTTAAGTTGCTTTGTTCCTTTTATTCAGATTTGTTTTCAGAATGGCATGAAAGCATTTGCTGATAAACAGTCAAGATTCCTTTCAAGATTGCTTGCTGAATATTGTAATAAGAAAAAGCTAATCCAGGCAGAGTTTAATCCAGGGCAATTTTTCCTATCACATCCAGTCAGCAGTGCCACCAATCTCCTTTTATCTTTTTGTTTTCAGATGCAGTCCTATCATCTTAAAGTTCTGCTTTCCATTGCTCTGGCGATGTTTCACAAAGCATGTCAAATACTGAATTTTTGCTCAATCGCATTAAGGATTTGAAATGAAACATATCTAACAGAAACAGCTTTTTGCAAAATAGATGAAAGCAGTCCATGCTGAATGGGGAGCCTAGAAATGACAGCGCCAGACTGAAAGGAAGTACCAGATTGAGTAAGACTGGAATAAAAATATTTTTTTAAAAAAGAGCAGAAGCTAAGTTAAGCAATATTTTTTTCAGTTTTGCCTTGTTAAAATAATTCCAGGTGGTTTCCTGGAGTATTGTAGCTAAATTTCTTCACGTTTTGTAAATGTTTAATATTCAATGACTACTTTGCTATTTCATTCTCCTTGAGGAAAAGTTATAGTATAATGAAAACATTTAAAACAATTTAACTGGTAAAAAGATGAATTTTATCATTTAAATAGTAAATATCAGTGGTTTCAGAGACAAAGATAGTCCAGCCATATCCACCTGGACAGAAAATGGTTCTGTTTCATTGGCACTGATTTCATAAAGTTATCTATTGGTTTTTCCATTAGTCAGCTAAGTTCTACAATGGGTTGAACTGATACCCATGTTAAGCTATAATTGTGATTTACAAACCACAGTAGTTGCATTCATACAATACTCTTAAGATAAACCCAAGAAACCACATTTCTTCTTAATGTGTGAATTCAGCAATATTGTTTGGCCTCATAATCCAAATTTTATCCAAACTGAAAACAAAAAGACTCTTGATGAATCAGAAAATAATCATGTGGTTAGAAAAATTCAAAGAAAGGAGGGAAGAGAAGAAAAAAAAAGGATGAGTCAGGGTATGGCCTAAATAGATAAAACATGATTCAGGTGGCATATTGGTCTCAGGTCAAAATCATAAATATAATGCTTCTGAAACTGGGAGATAATCCAGAAATACCGTTATGAAGTTTCTCCCTCCCAACCCTTATGCCAGCCAAGTTCACATACCCAACACTTAACTTTTTATAAGGTGCTGTCTTTGTGATACAAACAAAAGCCAGCTTTCCTACAGCCTCCCTCTCCAAGAGAAAGCAGCTTTGTTCTATTGTGAGGTTGTAGGCAGACATATATAAGAGGTGGGGGAAGGACAATTATCCGCTTCTGCTGGGGAACTAGCATGAATAAAAGGATTTCCAGGTAACAATGAAATCAAAAGGGAATTTGATTTCAAGGGCAATCCCTTCTCTAGAGAAATAGGAAAAATTAAATAGAAATATTAAATATGATTTTTATTTTGCATGTCTAACATTTAATATTTTGCTTCTATATTTATTATGCAGCTGAATTATTTTATTTTATTTTTGCAAATAAGAAAAGATCCCACCTCTTTCTTGTGTGCATCTTTCTCCCCATCTTTGTCAATTTTAAACTAATTTTAGTGTTACCATTCTTTGTTTTAATGTTTTACATTGTTATTTTATTGATTGTAAGCCACCTAGAGTCAACTCTAGGCAAGATGGCAACATACAAGTTTAATAAACAAACACACCTAGAATTCTGTGCATCAGAAATGCATCTAAACTGGAACAGACCAACATTATCTTGTGCTTTGCCAGAACTTTATATTTCTCTTAATTTTTCCCCCTTTTGGAGGTTCTTTGCAGATGCTGTCTGTGATTTGATTAACTTTGTGTTTTAATCTCCTTTGCTTTGCTTCTGAATGTTTTGCTTGTGAAAAATTTAAAGCCAAAAAATGTGATTTATGTTTTTTTTCCCTTTTTAAAAAAGTTTCATTTTGTTTTTCTCTTGTGAAATTGATCTATTGCTAGACAAAAGAGAGGGAGAAATTTCTCAGGCCACATACATCAGCATTAAGTCAGGAATAATTATGGATTCATTTTTGTTCTTTTTCCCCCTTTTAAATTGTCATAAAAACACACAGAACTTGAGGGCACCTTCTTTCTAACATGCTGCTGAGGAAGACACCACTTGAGGGATCTCCTGGAAGACAGAAAATAACAATAGTAACTACCAAGCTACAATAACAGAGCAAGAAGCAAAGCCCTGTGGTGTAGACTTAAAAAGATTTGAGGGCTGGAAGTTTGAACACTCCACCTTATACCCTACAGATTCAGACATGCTACTGCAATAGTCCAAGATTTTCTGGTAGCTTTTTCATCTTGCTTTGGGAATTTATTTATTTTTTAAATATATTTATTTATTTATTAGAATTTGTCAAACAAAAATGAGAACAAGAATAAAAGAATAAAAATATGACAGGGATGATAGGCACATTAGTACACTTATGCATGCCTCTCTACTAACCACTTAAGTATGATGTAAAGTCCATAAAGGTCTGTTTGTGACTGAAACTGTGAAAATTTGTACCTGAAACAACTGAATCAGGTAGAGCATTCCAGACTTCGACAACTGTATTACTGAATTCATATTTTTACAGTCAAGTTTAGAATGATTTACACTGAGTTTAAAGCAGATGTTAGCATGCGTATTATGCGATTAAAACAAAATTAGTCATTTACAAGTAAAACATTACTAGGTATAATTTTGTAGGCAATACCTCGGTCTGATTGCAAGCAACACAGTTCTAAGTTATTCAAACTGAGAATTTCTAGCCTAGTAGCACAGGGAATTCTATTTTGTACAGAAGACTGCAAGACTTTTCTCGTGAAATACTTCTGTACCCGCTCAATTGTACTGATGTCAGATACATGATGGGGATTCCAAACAATTGAACAATACTCTAAGATTGGTCTAGCGTAAGTTTTATAAGCTCTAATTAGCAATACAATGTTTCCAGAAAAAAAACTCTGCAAATTTTTTTTTAATAAAGTTTTATTTGGGTTTTCACACATACAAAATACAAGTAAAACATCTTTTTTGAAAATAGCATGGTCCTGGATTGAACTTCTTTATACAGACACAAAACTCAATTTCATGCTCCTTTTTGTGTTCTATTCCATATCTTATACTATTCTACATTTTCTATATAGTTTTTCCCCTCTTTTAATTTTCTCAATTTTATTTTGATTATCTCATCTCAATTCAAATCATTATATTTATACTTTTGTCTGTTCTGTTTCAATTTCATATTATCTTTTCTCATAAAACAAGTTTTCTCCTGTAGTTACTAATTGGAGCATGACACCTTTATAGCTTTTAATTACATCCATTCAACTCTTATTTAAACTTCAATATATACCTTAAGGTTATGACCTTCAATATAATACATAATACATAACTTCCAATCGAATTCTGCTTGGTACATTCTTATAATACACACTATATTCTTTAAAAAAAGATTATAAATATATGTAATTATAAACCCCCATTCCATTCCAATTCAGTTCTATCATTACTAATCATTAAAATCTTAACATCTTTAACATTTCTCTTCAATTAAATATCATACTTCCTTAAAGACACGTATAATCTCCATACTTCCTTAAAGACACGTATAATCTCCATAATTATTTTTTTCCCTTATTTCTCTTCACAAATGTTTTGTAAATCATTAAATATTCATTTTGTTACATTTATTTATGGACAAGCATTCCACTGAATTACAATAGCTATTTTATCAAACATTTTAATCATACATTGTTGCATATTTTCTAAAATTATTTCTATTTCTAATATAAATGTACCTTTGCAGAATTCCCTTTTCCATTAAATTTTCAACCATTATCTCTAAATAGGCCCTGTTTCTCTATATTTTGTTTCTGTCCTTTATAACTTCTTTTCCTTTTTTTCTTCCCTCTCATCTTCTCCCTCCCCTTTTTACCCCCTTGTCTCTCTACTTCTAATTCTCTCTTCTGCATTTCCCTCTTCTGTTGCTTTCTGATTTTATACTTATTTTTCACTCTATTTGGGGGGGGGGTGTTTTTCCCAATCTTAAACTTTCCATTCTCTTTCCCCCCTTTCCTCCCCCCCACTAAGATTACTTGTTCATTAAAGATGGCTTCTTCTTTGTCGCAATTTGTTCTGCAGGCATTTCTTGTTGTTTCTCATAATTCCAAATCTCCATTTCTAAAAACTGAAATACAAAGCCAAAAGAACCGCTCCCTTCTTGTGCATCTTCTTTGTACTTTTTAAGTTCCATTTTCAGTTCTTCTAAAAGTGGAGCCATTTTAAACAGTTTTAAATAACTACCCAGCTGATTTTAGTCATCCAAATACAATAACCAAAAATCCAGACATCATCAAGTAATCCAAATAGTCCCAAGCTGTTTCTTCTTTTTTCTTTTTCCACTTTCTCTTCCTGGGGTTTTTGTTGTGATGTTTCAGTTAAAATGTATATTTTGGAAGTCTTGTTGAGATTTTGCTATAAGTTCTTTTTAATTCCAGGCAGTCTCTTCCCTTCCAGATCCTGTCCTTTTATTCTTTTTCTCTCCTTTCCTATTTTCAAAAGCTTTTAATTATCCAGAAATCTTTATTATCCCTTTGACTTTTTATTTTCAGCATTAAATGCCTATTGATGTCAAAGTGGATTTTTTTTCCAATTTCTTGCTTAAGTCTCTTAGCTGTCAGTATAGGAAAAGGAGAAAAAATCTTTTCCCTTTTCTCTCTCCTTCGCAGCTTAAAAATCTTCTTAGGGAACAATGTTATTGTTTTTTAAATAGTTTCAATTCCAGGGTACCTTATTTGTTGCTTTTGCTGTTTGACCCAGTCAACCAAAACTTTCTCTTCTTATCTTTCTCCTGCACATTCTTTTCCAGTCGAGTTCTTCTTTGTGGTGGCCATTTCTGACCACCGCTACAACCGCCTTCGAGAAAGGGAGTAATGGCCAGCAGGGGAGGACAGATGTGGCTCTCCTCAACTCTGCAGGCAGTCTCCCCCTTCTTCACCACCTCTACAGGGTGGCTTAGCCCCAAAACCAGCCAGGTCGGGGCACTCCAGCAGCGAGCATGGATCGAAACCTCACAGAGATGAGGCTTCAGTCTGTTGCCGAAGAAGCTCAAACCGGAAGTAAAAAACTCCACAATATTAAATGTACAACTCTTTATGCTTTTTTTGGCAATCCTGTTACAGTGAACTTTGGAGCATAGATCATCAGAGGGAAGTACGCTTAGGTCCTTAACAAAGTGAGGGTCATCAGCTTGTTCAATGCTTACATGTCATTCTGATTACATCTACCAAAATGTAAGACAGATTTATATTTTATTATGATTTAAATATATTTGAATCATGTATTTCCATGCACTTACAGCCTGCGAATAATTAAAAACTGTTTTACCAATTAATTTAAGACTGCAATAAATAAATAAATAAATTCAAGAGCATTAGCATGCCTATCCCTCTATATGTCCATTAGTTAGTTCTTGACAATTATTTTCAGCTATGTAAGAAATAGCATAAATGAACATTTGCTGAGGATGCACTCATCAAAGAAGGTACACACAGCCTTTAATATCCCCCAGGACAATACAGTAAGGGCCCAAATTACAAAATGTGTACCATGACACAAATCTACACAACATATATGTGCTTCTGACACCATGATCTATGTGAAAAATTTGGCACTTGTCATGATAGACCTTTTGTCA